ATATCTAAGGTAATTCCTTTAGTAAAAGGGATGTTTCGATAGACGAACCTTGTGATAATTTAAGTCAGCGCTTTACAACACATTTTACAAATAGTTTAACTTACAATACGATAAAATCATATTTTTGCTTGTCTGTTTTCTGTTGATAGAATTTGTTTGTTTTTCTTGGTGTATAAAATGTTTGAAATCGTTCATATGCAAACAAATCCTTGATTCTAGCTTTTACCGATAACATACTGCTGTTATTGAGTTTATAAATTATTAAAGTTCAAAACGGATTGATTAACAAAGGTCAAATGTCATAAGTTAAACACAAAATGCATTATATTATTTAGTAGGATTACGTTCTATGATTATTAATTATCTATATTTATTCAAATATTTTAATACTATTCTTTTCGCCAAATGGCATTCGTGTGTATACGTGTATGCTCAGTTCTTATACGTTGCTGATGAAGGAACTAAACGAGTGTATTGCATTGATATAGATTATTAGACATTATATAAAATAATTTTTTCCATTTCTTAATGCTTTTTTGTTGAACCTCTCGTGGTTTACAGAAGAAGCACAGACATAAATTCCAATCACTTAATGTTTGAGAGAAGTTGTATTGACTTTTGAGATTGTATAACTGGTTAAACAAGCAAAAGACCAGAGAAAGATTATGTTTTCCATGGAGTCTGATCATGAAGCAGGTTTTCAAGAAATCCGCACTACTGAAACAATATATATAGTTTCTTACAAACGAGATGTAATAACGAGTGTTATTTTTTTTTTTTATCTTTAGAATGCGTTAGGTTTTTATAGGGGCCAAGATTCTTTACAGTTGGTGCCTACGATAAATTTCAACAATAAACGGACAGCACACAATCCACTTGTTTTAAAATAAAATATTCAAAACAAGTCAAACGTATGTACAAAAAATTCCTTACACTATTGGTTATCACAGTTGTATCCAGAGCTTTAAATATATGTCATTTTTTAGCAAAGTCCACATAGGTGTGTTCAGTTACTTTAGAATGCATTTAGACAATACAAATTATCCTACTATACTCTGTTGTTACAATACAAGGCTGCGACAATCACTTTAGAAATCTTCACTATACGCTCTTTATGACTAAACTCACAATCACGCAGTCAAACTTCACTTTTTCACTTTTACTTTCACTTCTACTAATTTAACTTGCTAGCTCTCTATATCTGCACGTATTTATAACACGCGACAAAAAATATGAAAATATCTAACCCTCTAGTAACAACAATATTACACATAACGAGAAAAACTTGGAAGCTTCGAGTAAGATGACGTCAACAATATTACACATAACGAGAAAACTTAGAAGCTTCGAGCAAGATGACGTCAACAATATTACACATAACGAGAAAACTTAGAAGCTTCGAGCAAGATGACGTCAACAATATTACAAAAGCCTAGTACAAAAATTAAACTACATAAACAACATAAGACTCATACAGAGGTACGTAACGAAACTTGTCATAACTATCGCTTTTATAATAATTAACTTTTAACACTCTTATTATGAAACTAAATAATCATTAAATATTAAATCACTAAATAATAACTCAACAGTCTTGTATATCCAACAGACTGACATAGAGTTATTATGAACTGGTAGCTATATAATGTCTTTAATGTATGGTATTATACCGGTAAATGAAACCTTACAAGGTGCAATCAGTTTGCCCTTGAAGATTAAAGGTCCATTTTTCAAAGCGCTCGGGTTATAGGGTTTTTATTCATTAATATTAAATAATATTCAAATATCTCCAAGAGCTTAACTTTCTAGCGTCTTCATATTTTGTTGTTGTTTTTAGTGCAAACTACACAATGAGTTATCTGCTCTCTGTCCATCGCAAACAATTGAACCACGGAGTTTAGCCGTTGTAAGTCCTTACATTTACCTCTGTCCTTCCGCGGAAGACTACTTATTTTCAAAATTATAGTATTAGGTATAACAAGCCTATTTTAAATCATAACTAATTCAATAAACAATTTTCAAAAGGTTTTTACCTCCTCTTAACTGTATAACTCAGAAGTAAGCTTGTAGGCTCATAACGCTATAAATTGGACACCCAGCTCGATACCCGCTGCGGATACAGCACAGATAACTTATTATGTAGATTTGCTCTTGAAAACAAACAAAACAAAGATATCGATCAGACATGAATACTCTCAGTTTGTGAAGATTATGATCTGGGACTTCTCTTCAATTTTTGTTACATAATCTCCCAAAGTTGTCGTAGATTACTCTTATAATATTAGTTTCTCGAATGGTGGTAGAAATATTTCTGCGAATTAGCACCCGAACTTTGAGCTGACCATTTAGTAACGTTTATGACATCAGTTCTTCCTCTTCCAAATTCCGTTATTGAAGAGAGCAGAATGCTTTGGATAATTATTTGTTGAGATTAAAATCCAAATCCAAATAAATGTCATCCACTGGGTGTTATGTGACAAATCGGATGTTATGGTACTGCACCTTCCTCGTAATATGATCAGTTTCGACGATATTTCATTTTCACAACTAATTGAAAAATATCCCCACGCCATTAAAAACCCATTACCATTTATCATTTGTTTGGTTACCTGGTCTGATGTGAACGTTTTCTAGTCAAGTATCTGCACACATATATTATTCTAAAGCTCCCAGAAATTCAATCTTTGCTTTTCAATCTGTGGCACTTCGCCCCATTCATTCTTTTATTTTTATGATTTTTAGCACAGCTTAAACACTTGTCCATATTCACATTTATAACATGAAGTTTTTTGGCTGTAACTTTTCCACGTAAGGCTCTTTCTTGTAATAATCTTCGAAAAGTTCGATTTTTGACACGAACTCTATATCCATATTCCGTAATTCTACATTTGTATCTCAGGATGTTTTGAATCGACTTGACGTTCAAAAAGTCTTTAAGTGACACATCACACTCTACTTTGGTTAGGTTTTTGTATCCCTTCTTTTTATTACATTTTAAACTCCTCTTTCACCCTTACAAACATTCAATTTTCTTTTCATTATATCAAACAATAATATATGCTCGTTTTTCACTACTTACTTCTTTATTATTTTTTCGCTTTTTCTTTTTCAGTTCTAATCAAGTTAAAATTTCAAGAGTATTTCGATGTTTTTGACACTGGTCGTTCAATGTGATTAAATAATTTGAAACAAGGCTTTTGATAGTTTAAAACTAGGTTGAAAAATATGAATCGAAATGAGCCCACTCAATGCACGTTTATTGACGTGCAGGGTAGTTGATGTACAATTAGTTTGTAATAATTTTTATGAAGTGAGTAAATGATTTTGTTGTAAAATCAAAACACTATGTTGTCCTAATACAGACGCACCTCTAATGTTCCACCAATAACGGTTCACATTCTTGTTTGGTTTTATACTTACATTAGTGTTCTTTCTTCCTAGACTACAGAGGGTTGGGGACATTATATTAAAACCATTTTGAATATGCAAATCAGCAAGTCACGTAACAGCCACAGTCGATATAAAGTTGTGGTGGAACGGAATGTATCAAAACCACATTTTACATTGTTTTCGTTTTGTAGGTAGTTTGATTACACGGAAAATTGATCGCTATTCGCTTTCGGGAACAATATGTAACAGTTGTTTCCGACGAAAATTGTTCATGTGCTTAAATCATAAAAATGTGTAAGATCGGAAATTTAGACTTTCCAAGACGGGGATAATCCCTTTCACTTAATGGCATTGGAAAATAATGGAATATGGATCAACTCTGGGAACCTATTGGGTACCAAAGCTGTTCTGAGTTAAGTGTGGCATATTGTAACAGCTGAGAATCCACGAACACAAAATGAGGGGCAAAACCCGTTCACATGCCCCAGGTAACAATACATAACGTAATCAAAAGAATCTCCGCCTGTAATAGAAGCCAACTGAGTATGGGTCCACCAAGGTAAGGCTTCTAGTCATACCTCCCGTTCAACCATCGCATACCTAAAGTTTTCACAGCATATTCTTTTTTTTTGTTTGTTTGAAATTCCCAGTAGATATGAGCTGAAATTTCTACGTTGACTTACTGGTAAATGTTACAACGAGATATTTTAGTTTCATTGATTTCTTGTAAAATACAATAACTATATTTGGATATTTTTTTTTTTGCTTTTTTCCTTGGAACTCTTTATTGTAAAACATCTTCGTTGATACCGAAGTTTCATACCAAGTATTGAAAAATTAATGTACATTACACACGATGCCTCTAGCTAAAATCTTTCGTTGCAAATTTTAAGTTTAATTAACTTTTTATTGTACTAAACTCTGTCAGAAGTTTTTCCATGATCCAAAACACGTTAACGCAGATCATGTTTTATTTGACCTTTTGAAATGTATTCATAAAAATCAGCAGATTAGGTTTGCAGGAATATCTAGCAAATAAGAAAGATTGTTCCGACATAAAATGCTATTCATTTTTAGCTTCACCTAGAAGGCATTTATTACAAGATCTAATTTTTCAGATCCATACAAATTTTCTAAAGTGTCAGCAGCACATATGTTTATTACTTAACCTTATTAACGTCGTAAAACTTTAATATTTTACATAGTTATTCGGAGGAGAAGAAGTATCAAGCATACTTTTAGATTGAATTTTTCATTGAAGTTGTAATTATGATCAGCAGTTAAGATACTGGAATATAAGTAAGATTAGTGCACTAAGATAATTACTTTTTTCTATTATTTGGAAAACGTTATTAATGTTATTGTTTCAAAAAATGCGTTTAATTCTGGAAATCGCAACTTTATGTTCTTGTAATAACTTATATCTATGGACCAAAACAAATTATATATTCGAAATAACAACTGTAGGTAATACATGTATTAGATATTGATTATTTGTAGTGTGCAATATTTCATCTTATCTTACAAATATTGGTTATTTGTAGTGTGCAATATTTCATCTTATCTTACAAATATTGGTTATTTGGTCACATATTCTTTTTCTTTTTCAGTTGTCATGGGTCGAAGTCGTAGTACCCCAGGTCTCGTGGAATCTCGCGGAAAGGTTCCTCTGGAAGATATGTCTCTGCATCCACGGGAACCATCCACCACTGCCTCAGCAGATACACTTTTAACAGACGACGAATGTCGGCCGGATATTGGGACAGCGGTTAGTGCAATCAGTAACCGGAGAACGAGTGCTGATGATATCCAGCGAAAAGGAATCCCTGTATACGAACAGCTCAGGACAGCTCAAGCTGGTTCATCAAGAAGTGTTAGGTCTTATTTGACAGAGTCTTCCCTTGACCGACAGCTTGCGGCTGAAGCAACTTCACAGTTTCATACATGTCCGTCATCGTACTTTGTACATTCCTCTAGCCTTAACAAGTTTGATTTCTCTTCTCCTCATGACTATGTAGCCATGAGCTCCGGCGGCGTTGATCACTTGCTCTTCAGTAGTCTTTCGCGTCATTTGCCAGTTCCCACTCCTATTTCCATGAGCCGTGTGAGGAATGTCAGTCCCCACTCTAATCGAGAGCACCATCCTGAAGTCTTAATAGCGGAAATCAAACGTCTCCGAGAAAGACTGGTCACCTTAGAAACAGAGAACACCAGCATGGGCATGAAACTCAGCCACCAACAGTGGGAAGTAGAAAACAGATTAACGGATATTGAACTTCAGGTTCGTGGAACTAGGTGTGAGACCAGTTCCGTGAGCTGTGGGAGTGCTGACGAAAGCGAGCGTAATCGCGAATCTGCCATTTAACTGTCGTTTGTTGTCATCCTTCCTTGTGGCACAGAAAGACCTTGTGTTTTCTAACCTGTATAAGCCCAATTGTATCAATATAAACAAAGTGTATCATATAAGTCCCCTGATCATGGAAACTGATAGTTGTGAAGACCTATTTGAGTGATACTTTGTGACGATTAAAAAAATGGTATTTTTAATTACTTAGCTATATTTGACATTAATGAATTACTGGGGCTCATTAATAAGAAGAAACCATGGAGAAGGTTGGACGAACTATCATATCAAATATTTCATTCATCTCCAGTTAACCCATTTTTTTCCAATACGTATGTACACGTTGGAGTCTTATTCTTCACATTTACCTTAACCAGCGATATTCCGTGACAGTAAATTGGATAAAACGAAATATATACATCTTGTGGTAGTCCTATACTCTTCCATTACTTACGTGCTTTTCAAATTAAAGATTTAAAAAATATATATTCGTAATTACTTCTCGCTTTTACGCTCCATCTACCGGTAGCTTTTACGAAAGGGAGAGATATTATCAAATGTTTGTCCACCAAGCTTACGCTAAAAACGAAATTTAAAGCAGGTCATGCATTTATTTTCAATTGTTAGTTCTTTTTAAATTTCAGAATTTTTTAATTCGGTATTAATTTTGTAACATTATTTTATACGACCATATAGATAAGTATTTACAAATTATAGCAAATACTTTTCTTACAATTGTTTAAATAGTTAACATTGTCAAAAAAACAATTAAATTTTATTTGGAAAACCTAAATATGTATAAGTGCGTCTTGGTTATGAATATAAGTAAAACAAGTTAATTTTATGTGATCTATGAAAATAAAACAATTACATAGTTTACAAAATTCTTTAAACAAACCATGAGAAAATAAATCTAATCTCAAAGTTTCCCGTGTATCACACAAAAACAGCTTATATTTTCTTAATATTATAAGATAAGGCTGCCTTCAGAAACGTATACTGTTTGGTATCTCATTTTCTTTGGTTCCCAAATATTTTAAGACACATACTGAAAGTAGGTAAAATTAAAGCTTAATAATATTTTGTATAGTACTAATTAAATTGATATATTTGTGTAAAAAATTAGGCATTATTGTAGGTTTTAAATAATTTATTTATATTATTTTATATATTTGTCAATGAGGATCTACGACTCTGTCCTGACAAACAATCTCAAAAGTAACTGTACTACAAAATTATTTCATTTAGTTATTAGTGGGTTTTATAAACGGTGTTTTGGAACAATATTATACTGACTTTAGTCCTAACTAGGAAAACGAAATTGATGAGATGCCATGTTTGTACAAATTATTTTCACCAACATTTTATGAAAGAAATCTTTCCAGTTGCTCTAACAGTTTTGGAATTTCGTAATGTTTTTGTCATGTTGTCATTTCTTATTACACTTTCAAATCGAAATAAGTAAAGGAGCTCATGTTAAATCTGACGTTGTGAAGAACATAAATAACTATAATATGTATATTTGACATAGTGTTCGAAGAGTTATTTATATGGATACTTATATAGATAGGGCAATTTGTTTTAACAATGTCCCGATCACTGAATTATTGGTATGGACACTGCTATAGCCAGAGTAATTGGTTTTAACAATGACACTGCTCACTGAGTTACTTGTATGGATACTTATATAGATAGGGCAGCTTGTTTTAAAAATGTCCTGATCACTAAGTAATTAACACGGATCATAATATAGACAGGGCATTTGATTTTAACAATCTCTTACTCATTCATTTATTGATATGGACACTAAGGTAAGCAGGGCAGTTGGTTTTAATAAAATCACTGCTCCCTGTGTTATTGGAATGGATACTGATATAAGCAACACAATTGGGTTTTATAAAGTCACTAGATTATGTTCAACATGAAATGTTTCTCAATATGTCATCAGTACAATTATTTACTATTAAATATAAATAAATAAATAAATACGAAGATCAAGTGCATAGTGATTATTACACTTCCAAATAATATAAAAAACTATAGAGAGAAAAAAAAACTTTTAAACACTGTGACATACCTTACATTTCCGTGAAAGTTGTTTCGTTTTTCATTGCAGCAAAATATTAATATAAATATTTTTTTAAATATTATGGCTAATGCATTTTCTTTGCTAAAGTTATGTTAAGAATTTAAATATATGTTCTTATTCTATTAGAAAATACAAATAATTAAATGACCAAACAGTTTAGTTGCTAACCATCTCGACATTTATTTTTAATCTGTTCCTCAAAGTACAGATATTTATAAACAAAACAGTTTGTCAGCTAAAAGAATTATTAGTTCAACAGAAAAGGTTTGGCATGGGCTAGTGGTTAGGGACACTAGCAATTTGCGGGTCGCGAGTTCGAATCCCATCAACGAACTTGTTCGCTCTTTCAGTCATGGGGCGTTATAATGTAACAGTCAGTCACATTATTCACCTATAGTAGCCCAAAGGTCGGCAATTCATGTGGTTTAATAGCTGCTTTCTCTCTAGTCTATCATTTCTAAATTATGTAGGGCTAACACATATAGCCTCGTGGAGCTTCTCGCGAAGTTCGACAACAAATAAGCAAAAAAAAAAAAATCGATATATAAAAAAAGTGTATGAAAACATATTTAAAGCAGCATTAAATACAATAATCTCAACAAATTTTACATAAGTTGCATGAATTTATATTGCGGATTAATAACTAAAGATAAAGTTATATATTTTTAAATATTTTTATTTTAATATTTAAAACAATCAGCTTGAACTGAAAAAATAATTTGTTTCGAATCTAAAAGTGTATAAGCAATCATTCCCTATATTTGTAGAAAGTTTAAATTTCAAACTTAAATTAAGTTTTTAAAGTATGAACTAAATTACTGCACTGTCTTTGAGTAGCAATCAATAAACGAACTTTAGTTCGAAATATACAGAAAAATGTGCTGAGGTAATTGTTTTAGATATTCGGATATTTTGAATTGAAGTGTAATTCTTTCGTATAATATGTTTCTCACATTGCCCCTTCTTTCATAAATAAATTTAAAGTTTACGATTGCAAGGATGGCAGAAAACCTTTATTTTAAATGTAATCTAAACCTTCCTTTCAACATAGTTATGTTAACATTCATAGGGTATTTTCCATCTACCCCTTCTCGACTTTAATGATGCTTCATATCTCAGTAATGAAGCTATTGAACACGGAATAATTTGCAATGATATTTCATAATTATTTTGATCACTGAGTAATTACCAATTAATATTCAACTCATCAAATATACAGTTATTATACTTATAATCGAGTTGTAATATTACCTATTACAACTAAAATTAAAGCTTATAATTAAATATATTGTGACTTATAACATCCTTATTAGATAATAACATATAGTCATAAGTCACATTTTAAATGACGCATATAATAGTGTGCGATTATAGTATATCGTGCAAAATAACGACATCAAATGCCAAAATCTATCACGTTTGAGAGCTGCACAAGAAATCGTTTTGTGAGAAATGCAAACTACAATCATATAGTTATATGTTTATGTAAAACCTTTGAAGCTATAATGTCTTTGGCCATAAATGAAAAATTCAGAACATGAAGATGCCGTTGTAAAATGATTTATTTACCAGAAGTACGACAGCAAAATATTTACTTTAAAATCAGGTATAAAATCTGTCCGATTTTTTCATGTAATAGTATAAAATGATTCCGAGCTACAATAATAATAATACTTCTATTTTATTGGATACTTTTAAATGTATTGTAATATTAAAACGTAAGCCTGTAATATACATCACCTTTATTGTTGATTAATCTAAGTGGCACACTTAACTATTTCTATCATTATGTTGTATAAGATTCCAGTTGGTACCACCTATGTAGATCGACTTTAAATTAAGATATAAAACATTAATACGTATAAATTAATAACATTTCAATAAAAGTCGTTGTTTTTCAAGCGTAATCTTTGTTGCCGTTTCCTTACTTTAGAAAGTATTAATCAATTCAGTAAACTATGAAGAAATACATTATAGTAGTTATAGTTCATTATACAGTCATTTTTATTGGACTTTATTGAGAAATACACATAAAATATATTTCCCCATCATGAATTATGATTTTTGAGTTGTAGGTTTTTAAAAAAGTATTGTTATCGTAGTTTAGACGTTCATTTCAGCCGTAAAGTATATGCTTGTAATAACTTTTTTTCTTTCAAACTTTCTTTGTTAGTTATTGCTTGAAAGTTAATTCGTTATTTTTTTATGTTTAGAAATTAAACATTATCGTTATAAGTAAAGCTACTCCGGGTTTTTTCAAGTAGACATGATCCATCCTAAATATTGATTTCATCTTGGTAGCTAAATTTTTGGAACTGCGCTAAACAGTTACTTTCCTTCATTTTATGAACATATAAATCAATGCACGTTTGTTAAGTCCTTACTCTTTTTATACCTTCAATTACGAAAGGTGTAAAGTGCTATTTGCGAATCTTACTTGAATTCTATTCTGCAATTTCAATTTCACTTTAATCTTTAGGGAAGAAAGCATATTTACATATATATTGTGAAATATGCTTTGTCGTCAGAATTCTTGATACTGCATTTCAGTTTTACAGTTACTAACTTAATGCTTCATCTTTTACATCGTATGTGTTCTTGCTACCATTCAAGATGATCTATTTCTCTAAGGGTATGTCTACTGGACTGATAAATGGTTTTACTGAACTTATATTCTGGAAATAACATGTTCGCATTTATTTATTGTTGGATGATAGAGCTGCTTTAAGACTTCTCAAAATGTATTTCGCAAGATCACAAGGTTATCAGTAAATTAATATTTTATACGGACTCTCTTCAGGCAGACACCATCTGGTTTGCAACGCTTTTCCCTATTTGTTTTGGAAGAGAAAAACTGGATTAATCCTTTTTTTACTGAAATATTAACAGGGCAAAGCTCTTTCTCTTCTGGCCAAAGCTTTGAACTTCAAGTATTCTTAACTAAGAATAAAATGCTATAATTGAAATATATATATATTAATATTTCCTACATACTTCTAAAGAAGATCGCTCAATGTGTTCCTCCACGATAACAAAGAGTGCCATGAAAACTAATTGATAAATGTCTATTTTCTTACTTAAACGATAATAGGCTTATAACGCTAAAAATCGGGTTTCTATATCGGCGATGAGCATCCTAGAACATATGTGCCACCTATCGGTGGTTTCTGTTCATGAGACCAATCACAATGGGCTTTCTGTGCTGTGTCCAGCACGTGTATCGAAACCCTGTTTTTAGCGTTTTAAGTCCGCAGACTTACCGCTATTTTACTGGGAGGTAAACCGATCAGATATATTTTACCACATATTTACTTAAATATAAATTTTGGTCCTTACTGATACGTTATTTTAGTTATAAGTAGATTTGCATTTATATGCAGCTTATACGTATAAGTAAGATGACATGACAACCAATTAGTCTTTGCTTCAGAGTGGTGTCAGACTTACAATAGTAAAAAAAAAAATAAAATTAGCTATTTAATAATCCTGGTTAAAATAAATTGTATTAAATAAATCAGAAACAAATAATAATAATGTTTGTTTGTTTTGTGTTCGAGAACAATTTTGGCGTTATAAGCTCTCAACTTACAGCTGAGCCACAGGAGTCAACGAATAACAACTTTTATATTTATATAACGATATTCTGAGCACATATTTCTTAATTTAGATACTCATATAATCTAAAAAATAAAAGAAAGGAGTTTTGAAACATAAAGTAGAGAAAGAATGTGGTTAATGTATGAGCTCAATTATTTTATGTGAAGTTGTAAAGCATTTTTTTATATTTAAACCCGTTTCTATTGTATATAAAATTGACATAATTAATTAAATATTTTATCATTTCCACATCCATCTTCTCACTTATAAATTTTGTTTGAGGATTTTTAAAAAGTGTTTCTTTGGTTCTTACATCTTGTTCATTGTTGGAATTATATTGTGACAAAGTTCTTGTTGTCATCAATTCCATTACATTCCTGGTTTAGGTGCTTGTAGATAATTGAAGAACTCCCACCACTAGGCTTCAGATTCCCTTATGTACGCTGTTCTAAACGACGCATGGTTGAGCCCACATAAGCTCTTCCACACCGAGAACAAACATATCTATAAACAACGTAACAACGTTGAACTTTAATAATTCTGTCCTATATCTTGAAAAAGTTCTTTATTCTCAACACTGATTTTAAGGTTAGACTCACCGAAATTTGTAGATTGTTTGATTTTAAGATAATTTTAATTTTATTTCTGAACACATAACTGTATTTGCCAACAAACAGAAGACAGTTGGGTCGTATCAAAACACACTTTACTGAACACGACAAATTTGAGTTATTTTCTTTTTCAACTGTAAATTTATACAAGGATTTTGTTTATTTAGATACTCCAAGAATGTATTCACTTGTTTTTTTTTCGTAAAGATAACGAGGGTATTATTAACACACTTATAATATCTGACAGGTTTAAAACTATTTGAACAGTTACATTGTTTTTCATAATAAATGAAAGCAAATTTTCTAGGCTTCGGGTACACAACATATCATTATCTTATAGCTTTCTATCTGCATCCTCGGTTATTTTGTTTCGTATATTAGTAAATGTTACTAATGAAATGGCTTAAATGCGTACATATAAATTATAGTCCTATGATCCATCTGGCTCAATGAAAATAATCCTTTATTTACCACATGTAACCGAGTTATATATATATATAATTATATAATCGTAAATAGTATTGCTACTAATTTATTATTCTTATGTAGTGAACAAACTGTTTGAAATGTATTTTCTCTTATCACCAATATCCACCAGATATACGGACATATATTGCTAAAATTCGGGATTCAGTTCCCCATGATGGATATGACGTGAATAGCATTATGTAACTTTTAGCTAAAGCAAACACATTTATCGCCAAAACAAATGTGGCAAATCCAAGCATAGACTGAGTTACAAATTGTTTACAATACTTTTTTTTCAGTTGTAAGTAAAATTATTGTATTTTTAATATTTTATTAGGTGGTGCTGTAGAGTTGACGTTTCATTCTATTTTACCAGTGAAAATTATTACCTCCAGTACAAAGGAGAATGTATTGAAATTATTATTTAAGAAATGACTATAATATAGTGGAAATGATACTACAGGACTAATTAACATGATTATGTATTAACCTTTTGAATGTTTAATATATCGTGACTAATCATATTTTCAATAGTTCAAAACAAATCATTGGTTATTTTCTTTGTATTTGTCTTTAGATTTACTAGAACATTACCGAGTACGTATATATATATATATATATAAAGTACTCTGTAGGTACTGAGTTCGCTAATCAATAGCTAGAACCACCTTCCTTAGGTATAGTTTATTTTCTATTATTATGTGAAACTATAAACTCAAGTATTGTATTTAACGTTTGGATATTATTTCTGTTTTCTGCCCTTGTTGATTGGATATATATAAATAAGCAGCTTGTTAGATAATCAGACATGGCTTTTGTTCTTTATTTGTCATTGAATATTGCATGTTTATCATACAGTCATTTTAGATCGTTTTCTTCGTCTTCAAGAAGATAATAACACAAAGTCGTTTTTTAAAGATGTCACACAGGTTGTACGAACTGAAGTTTCTTGTTTATATGACGGAACACACTGCAGATGAAAGACCGGATTTTGCGACCAGAATAATAAAGTTAAAAGTCTTTTGCAGAGTAAAGTCTAGAAAATTGTGATTCGATATATATATAATATTTAAAGACTTTAACAAAAATTGCCTGAAATTGTAAGCCCAGTTAAAATTCGAGAATATTTGTGTCTGGAATGGAACTGCATTCGCAACCTTATTCGTTTTTGTTTTGTTTTTTTTCTTCTGCTTTCTTTTTTGTTGTTGTTGTTGTTAAAAGATTTAAGTTATCACAATAATTTTGTTTCCAGCGTTAAGTGAACACTGAAAATATCACCACTGCAACAACAATTTTAATATCCCATAGAATTCTCCAACTTAGTTTAACATATGTAGATAGAGGCTTAAACTTAACAACGTATAGCTAGGCTGGACAACGAAATACAAAATCTTTCATCAAATATTTAATAGAACTAAACAGGTGACAGGCTAATCCACACAAGACACAAATCTATAGGCTCAAATTGATTAGACCAGTTACAAGCTTATCTACACGATTCACTAGTCAACAGACTCAAATTAGTTAAACCGGTGAGAGGATTACCCACACAAATCACCACCAGTCAAATGACTCAAATTGGGAAGTTTGTAAAACAAAAATATCGAAATTGTAATTCTAGCTATCCAATAGTGACCAAGTTGGTTAAGTGATTTTTTATATTTTTAGGACATGTTTAATCCATAAGTTATTCATTATACTAAGAAGTTTTATTCTTCATACCACTCTTTTTTTGTTGACGTTTTTCCCCAGCCACCTTTGATTATCACGCTGGTCAGGCTGAGCAAAGCTAATTGCATAATAAAGCTTATTATTTTCTGTCCGAAATACTTGTTTGTGAATTCACTTGACTTGCTGAGTATTTCATGGTTGAGGTACGCCAATTGTGAAATCATACATTTATTTTCATATAGTTTTGCTTTCAATCGGAATCCTTACCGCATACAAACGCTATACTTCTTTTTCTGTGCACTATAATTAGTGAGGGAAACAGTTCTGACCTATGCTGTGTAAGACCATACTTGTTTTCAATTAATATGACCTAGAATAAATGGAGCAGGGGCGGTTTTATGATCCATTTACATATCAAAGTTCATTAACTACATCAGTCATGTGTGGTACCGTACGATTTTGTTATTACATATGGAATATTTGGTCGCATTATCTAACGGTCAACAGTTTCGTATTCTCCTCAGTTCATCCACACATTTAATGTCATTAATCAATATATTTCAATGTATTCTATGATATCAAAATGAAGTATTATTATCATTGGAACATTGAATCACTTAAATATTTGATTAGTTTCAAAAGGAGTACTCAGAAAGACAACACCATAACCATGCTATCAGCAACAAGCTTCCCATCTCGTTGAAATGACTGCTATAAAAGACCAAGTCTGATCTATCAACTAACACAAGTAGAAAA